ACTATTGCATCGTAAATTTAACAAATTACTTTAATAGTCATTTCTGCATTTTTTTGGGGAGGTCACCTCCTAATAAATGTCCTTACCTAAAATCTAACTGCTCATTTTCAATCAATACTTTTACTTTTATATTTTAGTACAAATAATTAATACTTTTACTCAAGTAATATTCCTAAAGGAGACTTAAACTTTTCCCAAAGTAATTTTTTGGTTAGATACTTGTATTTTTACACAAGTATCACTTTGTGGTACTTTATAGAACACTGCTGAACTGTGTGGAAAGGTTTTTGGTTCACGTGGTGTCTCTTGTTTAGTGGTAGCTCTTAATGTTTACAAAAATGTGGAGGTGCAGGAGGACCAGGCATGGGGAGAATGCAAGCACACCCTCCCACTGTGTTCAACACATCAGCTATAAACGTAGCTTTAGAGGTGTTGCACCAGTATCGATTCTACAAAGACAATCCTTTGGCAGGTTTAGATCATTTAACACTTATTTAAATATGATACACCTGTGAGGCTATTCACCTTCTGAATGTAATGGTTTGGGACTTCAAAACAAGGGGATGAATATATTTACAGGCATCACTTTTTTGGTTTAGAGCTCACCACCACCCCCATTAACCTCATTTGTATTTTATGCAGAAATATTACTAATGAAATTTAATTTAAATCAAGTCAAGAGGGATGAAAACCTTTACAAGCTGTTGTAATCAAGGCTCACTTATAGACCTTTATCTCATTTCTGACTAATGAAATTTCTAGTGAAACAACGAAGTTCTACCTCCATGTTAACTTCCTGTGAACCATGACAGACTCTTATCTTCAAAGATGAGATGTAAACAGTGTCAGTGTGGGCTGTAATAAACATCAGCGTTTTAATGGGACAAAGAAAAAAAAAGCAGGGTACTCACGCATCAACAGAACTTCTTGTGCCAAACTGTAGGCTGAAAACATTCATAGGCACTGCCTACTCTCAGGTGGTTTTTGGTTAAATTAAAAATAACTCCTGATAAGGCAACACATTGGATTTTCCCACTGAATTGTCTAGAGAAACTGTAAAATCTGAACTCCATGAGTAGGTGTCTAAATCTATAAAAACAATCACCACATTGGAGTAAATCAAAATAAATTATGATTTCTGATCAACCTAAAGGATTTTGCATTACATAGCAATGCTGCTTGTCCTCCGATTGGCTGGAAGAATAGGACGGTGGTCTGCTTCGAACCACCACTGAACAGGGAGGCTACAGTCAAACAGCCGTCTGCCTGAAATCAGCTTTCCCAACCAGGAGCAAGCACGTGTTTCTTAATGAACATGTCTTTATACAGATTTAGTACAATTCAACAGAATGTTTTAGCTATTTACAGAAAACAGGCTTCCAAAACAAAATCACAAATAAAGTGGAATGCAAAAACAAATATCTAGTATTTCAAATTTTGTGAAAAGACAACTAATTTGTGCAATATTTGTCTGCCTGTAAGTAAGATAGAGTGGCAGTAATCCCTGCAATTGTTTTATTTTAGATATTCTAATTTTAAAAATAAAGTTGACAGACACTGTATGTTGTCTGAACAAACATAAGCTTCCTCACGTCACATGATTTGATGGTGTCATCTAAGTCTTTTTTTCTGAGCTGAAATGAAACACAAAAGGCAAAAGCTCTTTATACAATGTCAGCATTTTTAAATTGCTCAAAAAAGAAAGAAAACATATTTTTCTATCATATTTGTAGCAAAAACAAATTAATAATGGCATAGTCCTTCTGGAGTCAGGGGGAAGATGGCCAGGACATTGTCTTAGTGAGTAAAAGCATCATTTCATGCACACACATAAGCACACTCTCACACACACACACACACACACTTCATATCCACAGATGGGATTCTTCGTTCGTTCAGTCCAGTCCAAGAGATGAAGGAGCACTGGCATCTAGTTGTTTGGTTGTACCCACTTTCCCCTCAACCTGCTAGTGTATACGTTTCACAGAATTACTTGACAACACCCTGAGAACTCGCTTGGACTCGTGTCGCTAAAGCAACCAGTGGACAGCAACAGAAAGATTGACAGGCTCCAGTAAAAACCTTTGTCGTTACGCGTCTTGTGGCTGTGATCCAATACTGTGGACTATCGAGTGCTTTCTGTGGCAGACAACCGGCCCTGTATGATTGTTAAATATGGATATAAAATTCTGCCCTTGCTCTTTGGCTTTCAGGGGCTGAAAACAAGCAAACAAAAAGGCTGCTGTTTTAATTCATTGAACATATTTTAACACATTTTGGACGAAATTTAATGTGCTAGAATTATCTTGACACATTGTATAATTTATATTTGGCCTGTAACACCAAACTGTAAAAATGGGCCCAAAAATGCAAGGTGCATTAGCGGTAGCTTTAACAGTGTTAAAGGGTGACTAGTTTGCTTTAAACTTGCAGGTTTGGGCAGTGGGTGAGGCTTTGGGCTGGTAACGTGATGTTCCAGCTTCACTAACGGGGTAATTTTGTGACGTGACAGACAGAGCACATCTGATGCGCTCCTTCCCCAGCAGAGTATCATCCATGTGGCCTCAGACGCAAAGACAGGCCGTCTGTGATCAGTGGGTGTGGTAGCCAGTCGCGCTCATGCCTGCTTGGTTGGTTAGCATCGTCCCGTTGACCCCCTGCCCGGGCTCCACCATGCTCCCATTGCTGACAGCACCCACACCCGTCCATCCAGCTCCAGCGTGTAAATGACTTCAAGGAAACAGAGAAACAAAAGAAATTCAGTCTGAGTAAGAAAGGCAGACAGTGGACACGCTCAACATTGGTACTTGTTGGTGCTACATATAAGTCACTTAAATGCCTAAATAAACTGTCTGTCAGCAGTGAAACCATCAAACGTCTGTGACAAGTCCAAGTTCATTCATCCAGATATTTTATCTAATGAAGATCACCTATTGTGGGTGTAAAGTTTCTGTAACCATACCACTTGTTTAAAGCTGAGTATAGACAAAGTATACTCCCATTGAGAAGTCTTAAAATGATATTGTCATATTTCAGCAAATCAATGCTAAACCTCCTGCTGCATCCATTACAACAGCTAGAAGAGTTCTGGGCCCGTATTTATCAAACTTCTTAGAATTACTCTTAGGAATGCTGCTAAGAGTAGACTTAAGTGTAAAAAAATTCTTAGTTAAAAGCTGAGAGTAAAAGTCAGTTATCAAGTGTCTCAGTCTTACTTTAAGTGAAGTGTAGGAGTAATTCTTAAGTGTCAGTCTTTAAGTGAAGTGTAGGAGTAATTCTCAAGTGTCAGTCTTACTTTAAGCTAAGTGTAGGAGTAAT